ATAGATCATTCATATTTGTAATGTTATCTTAACATTTTGATGGTATATGTATACATTACTTATGTACAATAATAGTAAAGTAGATACAGCAATTCTTTACACAAGTTTTGGTTGTATTTCTAAAAATATTAAATTTTTTAAGAACTCAACTTGATATCTGTTTCAATCATTAATTTGTGCATTTTCAATTTATTTTGTTTGAATCAAAATTAAATTATTTTAATCTGAATTGGAAATAGAATAAAATTAATAAAATCTGATTTATTTACTTACCAGGAACGGATACCATTTTTACTCATGTCGAAGTAACAACTTCATGAATTTTAAAAGATTGGATTAATTTATACATTGATATATTTTTGTAAGTGTATACAATGCACACCCGCGAGTGGAAAGGCACCATATTAACAAACCATTTTTTTATTGCATAAATTATTTATAAGGCGCAGGGACGATTCGCTACGCGTAACCAGTTTCACGATGAGGCTCTGGCCTCCGGCCTACGCGATTAATATAAAATGATCTTGACGCAGTCCAACGCATTTTCAAAATATCTCGTGGTTGTGGCCTGTGGAATTTACATAAAACGTGAAAGATAAAACATTGTTATTAGAAACTATGTAAAAATATTAACAACTGATATTACTCGCACAACTTTTCTTGAACTATGGATTGATAAAATAGGGTAGAGTGGGGGTACTAGATTTTATATAACAATGCCAATCTCTGGAGAATCAGTCATGCCTTCGCAACTTTCTCAGGAGTTCGAGGTATCTCATGTGATGGATCTTCACCTTCTTCGGTCATTCTTTTCATTTTTTTTGGAGAAAATCACGGTCAAAACTTTTCTTCAACAGAAAATAGTTTCTATTTCGCGCCAGTGAATATATGTTCGGAATGTTATCAGCGCATGCTGCGAGCTTTTGCCTTCAACTGTTTATTGAGCCAGAGAGGGGGAAGAAAGGTCATCGTTCAAGAAAAGTTTCGTAAGTAATATCAGCTGTTGACGGTTTCACCCAATTGGGAGCTTGAACGTCACCATAGTGATAAAATCTGCCAGGGGCAGAGTTGCAAAAACTGCAGTATAGGCAATAGTAGGTGAAGAGTTCTAAACAATTCTCTTCGTTTTCCATAATTTTTATTCACCTCAGCCAATTCATTACTAATGGAGTACAACTCCACTTAACCCGCCATCATAAAGTTCGCGAAACGACTAATGAAAAGTTACAATAGTGAGGTTGGCAACATATGAAGTACGCTCCCGCGTATATTCTCCATAAGTAAAATTCTGTAAATATCAAAATTGAAGAAATTACATGTCTTACAATGCTTATCTACAGAACGAATAACTTTTTTTATGATTTTTTTAAAATAAAAATATATACATCAGAACATAACTATAATTTCAATTAATTTGAAATGGATAACTCAAATTTTCACTTCAATACTGGGATTGTAAAAGTTGATAAATGTTTCACTGCCCTTAATTTCAAAATTTCTAGATGCAAATTAAATTACAATTTAAATAAATATTTATTCTTATTGTAGAATAATACTAGCAAAACACCTTATTACTGGTTATAAAATTATAAAGAGAGACCAAAATGATTGTCTATCACATTTATTATTATTGCAAACAGCGGTATCCTTATCTTATTACAAACATTTTTTAAAAGTTACTTACGTTTTACTAGTGTCTTGCATAAACCACTAGGTTTTGCTACCCAATTGGTCGCATCTTCAGGATACTTGGCTGTCCGGGATGAGCAGCGTATGTCAATCGAGCTGACGTTTTGGCCATCGTGTTGAGGCCTTCTTCAGGGCTGAATGCAGTATAGCTGGCCACAACACGATGGCCGAAACAGCTCGATCGACTGAGACGCGGCTCATCCCAGACAGCCAAGTATCCTGAAGATGCGACCAATTCGGTCGCAAAACCTAATGGTTTATGCAAGATACTAGTAAAACATAAGTAACTTTAAAGAAATTGTTTGTAATAAGAGAAGGAGCCAACAAATACATCTTCAGTTCTGTAATACAGATTTTTTTAAAAATCAACTGTTTCTTTCATCTTAAAATATAAAAATTTAGAATAACATTGTAAACTTACTAGAATTAATCACAGGGGGGGGGGGGAATGAAGTATGATGCAACAAAAACTAATGGTATAAAATATTTTTACAATTTCAAAAATCTATAAGTGTGAAGCCCAAGACTTACCTGAAACACACAAAAGACACATTAAAAAATAAACTTAGATCAATTTGAAACTATTAAGGCTTAATAAAATTGATGAAAAATACTAATCAATCCATTTAAGACTCAACAAATATCAGAAAACAAATAATAAAAAAGCATCTGGTCAGGGAAAAGAACAAGGAAAGGGGTACGTAGTCACACAGAGCAAGGAATAAACAAACCATTAAAGAAACTACAGAAACAATCCAAATTAGATTCCAAAGAATAATTCAATGGATTTTTTCTGTCTCGTCTTTTAGTACACTTGATGTGACCAATTGGGTTGCAAGCATGGTCTATGCAAGATACAAATAAAACAAGTAACTTAAAAGTAGATTGTTTGATTTCTTTAATAAAAGAAGGATACTGCTGTATTCAAATAATATAAAATTATAACAATTTGCATCTTGGAATTTTCAAATTAGGGGCAGGAAGAGATACTCATATTTACATACTTCTGAAAATGTGTATTCAGCAAGAAAATGACATGATAACCTATTATAAATATTCAATTCCAAATAACAAATGGCTACACTCATGCAATTAGTGGTTTCTTTTAAAAGTAAATATACTTTATTTATGTAACATTTTGGTACTTTATTTTACCACTCACTCAATAATTAATAGAGTAATAATTCAAAACAATTGATATAATGACAATCAGAATGAAAAAAAGGATTATTTAGATAAAGACTTGGTCACATTCATGTTTTCTTCTTTGAAATAAAATTGCCTCTTGAAAATTACTGTATAAGAAATTACGAAAATATACAAAAAAATAAACAGTGAAGAGCTTCAAAAAACAGAGTTGCATGTAGGAAATCTCTAATTACAATAATAGCAATGGATTGTATCAATAAGGGATGCAGGGAATAAACAATTAAGCAAAGACTGCATTATATAAATTAAAACCTATTTTGTTTAAACAAAAAATAAATAAATTATACAAATAATACACTTGCATACCATGTACACACCGGAAGGGGTAGCCACTCAATTGGTGAAGTAGGCAGCAGTTCAGACACACTAGGATGTGCAATGTGCTTCAAAACAACAAGAATAATCTTATATTGCTCTACATCAACTTTTTAATACACACAGTTTTCCCTTTGGTATGTTGTGGCAAGTGCATGAAGAGCAGGGTACTCACCCCAAGGAACATGTTCTATTCATATATTCATTTAACTTTAAAAACTATATGAGTGACATGCTGTAAGAGAGAAGTGTATTCTGTGCAGGTCTTCTGATATTCTGGAATTCCTACCTTAACCCACATACAAGATAAATTCTGAATACAGATGGAACTTAGCATTTTTTGGCAAGAACTGATAAGAAAAAATCACCCCAGTGTTATAAAATCTATTTGCAAAGGCAAATCAGCTACAGATTTTGGCAATTATTCCTTATCGTACCCCTTATAAAGGAATCTACTTCCTGCCTTGAGAACATGGAGAATGATAATTTGAATAACTATGTTTCCCACACAACTCTAGGCAATGTGCACATATATTTATGTCCAGAAGCAAACCAAGGGGCCATTACGTGACTGATCAGGGAAACAGGAGACAAAAAACACAAACACACACACACCAACATCAACAGTACTGGAGTTCATGTACTGACTACAATGTAAATACTTAACATTTCAATTACAGAAGCCTGAATGAATTTCAAAAATCATTGTTATTTCTCCCAAATTCCACTTGTTTAAATTAAATTATTCTTGTAGTTTATTAAGAACATTTATATTTATTAGTTATTTAAATAAAATATTGAACAAATTTATTTGATTGATTAGTTATTTCTGGCATGTCAACCGCTAAGGGCATTAATCCCGTAAATGTAGTGTATGTTTTCATCATGGGAGGTGGATATGATCTTTCCCCACTGACTCCAGAGATCCTGCACCGGCCTACGTCACATTGTGGGTATTTTCCCTAACCAGGTATATCCCATCAGCATGGCACCGCCCAAATGGATCAAGCTATAAGCTCCCAACATGTCGAAGTGTAGTGCAGTGCATATGAGTGTAAATATGTGAAAGTAAGGGGTAAGGAACATATTTTCAGTTAATACTAATGACTATAACACAATTGATATAGTAATCATATTCATTAGGTGTCAGTATCACCAACTCACTACAAAAAATATTCACACACAATACATCTACATTATTTTTCAAGACATTGCTAGATGACATTAAATTTTATACACCAGTTTAATTGCCAATTAAAATATTTTCTGGTGCACAAGTGTTTCTTTACAATTAGAGACTATAGCGAGCATCAAAAGGAAAGTAACATTAACAATGATATGGAATGTATTAATTACCATTTGGACAGTATAATTCTAAACAACCTGTAATGAGTATTGTACCTCAACTTCTGGATCAATGAACCCCCACTCACTCATGTTTTTGTCCGGTTTCCCTGATCCTTTGAGCGAATGCTGAGATGGCCCCTTGTTTTGCTTCTGCACACAAATGTATGAGAATGTCATCTAGAGTTCTGTGGGAAAAATAGTTATTCAAATTATCTTTCTTCAAGTTCTCAAGTCGAGAAGTCGATTCCTTCATAAAGAGCAAGATTAATAGCCAAAACTCTAGGGATTCATTTGATTTTATCAGTCAATGAAATGATACTTTTTTGATCAAAAATTTTATTTATTACAAAATATTTCACAAAAATCACAGTTGACAATACAAACAAACAAATGCACAACAAAAATAAAAATTATCAATAAATAAACTATATATATATATATATATATATATATATATCAATAAATGAATAAAGAAGTACCAAGAACCATTTTAACTTAATGACCTTACAACCTTCACTTTTACTCTTTACACTGAACTCCTTTCAGGAGAATGACTAGGTACAGAAACTCCAATTTGTTGGATGATTTTATGAGAAGTTGAACAACCATTTTTAACACATTTTTCCAAATCCATATTCGCAAAGGCAGCAGACAAAAAGCCAGCAACAAATGCATCACCTGCCCCGGTTGTGTCTTTAATGAAGGCTTTGTCGAGGTGAGGAACTGGAAATACTAAGGGGGCTTCTAAAAGTCCTTGAAATACTGAAACTGGTTGGCTACTCGCAGTGATGATAATAATTGGTCCATTTTGTAAAAGCGGAGGTATGTTTTTCTTTCTTTTTTTCTTCTCTTTCAATAAAGATCTCTTCTGAATGAAACTAGCAACATCTTGAGGTGAGTTCACAGGAGATATTATGAAATTACTTAAAGCAAGAAACTCGCTTGAATGCCCAAATATTATATCAGCATATTGCATCAAATTCAACAACCGATCCCCATACTTTTGACACACATATGGGGCATTAAGATTCATTCCAAAACAATTTCCATTTGTGTGACAAAAACTGGCCACTAGCATCGCTACTTCAAAACTATGTGTAATAAAAAATCCTTCAACATAAATCATAAGAGCATTTTTCAAAATTTCCCAATTTTCAGGAATGTCCAAGTCATTAGCACTGTAGTGATTTGCAGCTCCAAGATGAGCTACTAATGATCGTTTTCCGTTAATGAATGATATACAGGTACCTGTCTTAAATTCCTGATGATATGCATACCTGCAAGGAAAACATCAAAATAAGCAATCAAAAGATCAAAAAGTGTTTCATGTCCCATAGAACTCTTATTAGGATATTCTACATACATTTGCATGGGAGTAATAATAGAACATTTAGCATCCTAAAGAAAATTTATAAAAAAATAATTTAATGAAGATTTTGTTACATGGTCTTATAAATTTAAAAAATGATAATAGAAATAGAACATTTCTCTCATTTTAATTAACATCTTTATCACAAACATCCCACAGCAAAGCATGTATTTTCATGAATTTTAATTATATCCAGAATTTATAGGTACCATGCATGTAAACAAATTCATAAGCTACAACAAAATTAAGATCTAAATATTAGAAATACTGCCACATATTATTATTTGTATAACATTCACATAAAATAAAAGAAGGTAATGAAAATATTAAAATCAAAAATTTTAAAATTTCACTCGCACACAGAAATGCAACTATTTTCACATTATTAGCAGATTAATACAGAAGCCCAAAATAAATTGAAATTCTAATAACAGAAGAATTTACAGCAAGCAAACACACAACACAAAGTTGGTAATACTATCTTCAACCATCCACTCACAATTTAAGACTTCAACAATTCGTAAATAATAAATACTATTGCTTTACTATGTGTACTTTTCCTGTCACCTTATCCTCATCATGTTTCACCTTTCCTGTCACCTTGTTGGATGCAATTACGGTCAAAGAACATGTTCCACAGTCGTTACGATATCCAAATTGTGACTATGTTGTTACTCAGATAACAATGTATTTCAATAATTAAATTTCTTTGAACAAATTTATATATTGTTGTTAAAAACAATCGCTTCTCTAAATTAAAAATGGAAAAAGATTTGTAATAATATTTTGTAACAAATAAGTTTTGTAAAATTAATAGTTTTTGTAATCGAAAATATTTCTAAGTTTCTGGGTATGCCTCAGAGTATACTCTGAGGTATACCCAAAAGTATTATCAATTACAAAATATTATAACCAATATTTTTTCCATTTTTAATTTAGAGAAGAGATTGTTTTTAACAACCTGAAATATAAATAAATTTAAAAAATGTTTTAAAGGATTGTTTTAATCATCTTCATCCACTCAATTTTTTCTTTTTTTACCACAGTAACAATGTATCTTTTTGTGACCAAACCAATGACATTGTTTGAATTTTAACAACTAAAGCAAATCATTAATGATGTCATTAGTACAATCCATGCTTGTTTTCATGTGCTTTGGAATACTCATCTCAAAGAGAATGGGGTATAGATATTTAAATTATACCATAGAGAATGGGTATAGTAATTAAAAGGCAGCACTGAGCATCGATGAAAACATTTGATATCTAGAATTTTTTGTTCTGCGACATGAAACTATATGCATCAGCAATCATGCAACAAATTTAATAAGATAGTACGGTCAAAAGTCACTAAACCCTGTTTTCCCCTTCTATCTGGTAAAATGAGGGCTCAAGAAAATGTTGGATAATATGATGACTGATTTACATGCAAGGTGATACAATATTGTCCAAGATCATAATTACATCATTCCTTAAATTTTTCAATTTTCTTTATCACTGCAAGCCACAAGAACACTTATCTATTCTGTAGAAAAGAAAAGCACTACAGATTAAAATATAATTTTCCAATGAACTGTATACCATCAAAATTTATTTTTGTGTACCTCATACATCAAGAGAATACAGAATTAGAAATCATTATGACTTAAAGTTATTCCACAAGTGAATAATATGGAATAAGAGAAATTTACACAATATTTATCGAAATAATAATTTTGAAAAGTAATGAAAAGTGCAGTTTTATTGATTGCGACATTCCTAAATTTAAACATTTTTTGTAAATACTCTGTATCAATTTGTATTTAAAATATAAAAATGTGACATATTTCAAAAACAATCACACTACAAAAACAAAATTCACAATAATTATTGAAATATATTACTTTTCTTCACAATCACTATTTACATATTGATTAAGATTTTCAATCACAGTTCAAAACTACCATAAGTTGAAGCATTATTTTCTACATTTCTGTCACTACTTTAAAGATTATATGCAAATTTGTCAATAAAGTTTTATCAACTACTACTGTACCTGGTTCTCACTCCATCTTTTGTAACTGCTCTCTCCAGAAACTCGCCATTATCATCAGTACCAATTCCACCAAAAATAACAGAATAATTAGGCAGCTGTATAAGCCATTGAAACCATCGCAAAGTATTCTGAGCAGAACCACCAGGGCAACGCATAGCAATATTACATCTAAATATGTAAAGAATCAGAGTTTTAAAAGATACACATTAATGGGGTTAAAATAGAAATAAATGAGAAAATTAAGTTGCCTTACTTCGTAGTTGTTTCTTCTAAGAGGACAACGTATTCTGCCTCATCTATTTCTTTTTGGGCCTCTGCTTCTAAATCAAATTTTTTAATAATGCTTTCATCAATTATAATGGCTTCTATATCTAATAATACATTTCCAAATGCTGTTATAATAGGAGGTTTAAACGCCTTTTCTATATCACTTGTGCTCATGATTTACCCAGGGAATACTTAACTTTCCGAGAGTAGAGGTTATTTAAAGGTTATAAACACGTGCTTATGGAGAATGGTAATCGCTGTTATGTAAGATTTTGTGCCCCAAGAATTCATTTTATATGAGCAGCACATCGATTAGCCATTCAGTAAGCGTAGAAAGATGCCTCGAAAATGAGAATGTGAGTAATACTAGTGAAGCTGGAATTTTCTCAAATCTTGAAAGAATTATTGTCACCGGTCCTCTGGTCGTCATAGCAACAGGAGGTTCTCTAGCTGGATATGACTAAATTGGTCCATTGCAATTGTTTCTGACTTTTCGCTCCTATTTTCATGATACAATACAAATTGAAAACTACGTTTTGGCACGGCAACATTGCAACATAGCACGGTATAATATACAATGTCACAGTTATGATTTAAAACAATTTTTTTGATATTTCCCCCCACCCCCACCCTACGTCACACAGTTTTTACTGTTCTTTTGACTGAATAAATCGAATCTAATCAAATCAACCGAGCGGGAATGTACGCTCCCATTACCCGAATCCGCTTCTCAGAAAATGAATAGTATTAGTGATGAACCCGAATACGCCGTTCAACAACCTCGGCCATGCCGTTCCACGCGAATATAAGCACGGTTACTCATTATCACAGAGTTGCGATATCCTTTACGAAAGGATGACCGTGGTATATCACGTATCTTCAAACACATTCAAATGCACATTTCAATGCTTTTTAAAAACGGTTAATCAGTTTCACGGAAATCGTTAACGAAGGTACATCTGACGGAAAAAACATTCAGGGGAAATAAGGTAGCTTCAGGGGGGTGTTACTTAATAGCTGGTAAAACGTCCTTATTTGAAAGTAGCGGTGGGAGGGACAAGAGAGCGGGGGGGAGACGGTGAGAGGGGAGGTAAGTCCGCCATTATCTGCCACCCTGGAAAGTGGCGCTGTGCAGGGGCTTTTGAGAACTAATTTTAAAAGCAGAACGTTTGATTTTGTGGATTTGTTCGCTAAAAGGACGACAGTATACGACGGTTTCTCTTGTTGTTCGCATTCTCTGCACGTTTGCCGAAGTGATTGATTTTTTTGGTTGTTTGGCAATTTTAGTAAGAAATGCGGAAATATAGGCGTTGTTGGGTTCCCAATTGCCACAATAACAAAAGGGGAAATGCGGAAAAGACAAGGTTGTTTTCTTTTCCAAGTGAACCTGAACGGTAAGTGAAATGAAATATATGGCATAATTCTTACGAATGGTTTAACATTATTCGAATAATGGATATTTTTTATATATTTACAAATAATCTGTGGCTATTTTATAAAATATACTCTTATAAATTTTATAAATTATACTCTCTGGGTAGCTTGTTATATGTAGAAATATTGCAAATTGGTCTGGTATTCACTCTAAATGGGTCTACAGCGAATGACGCGCTCTCAACCAACGATAGTTCAGTCATAACACAGGTTAAGTAATGAATTGTCATGGATGCTGCCACCTGTTTTTCACCGTGGGCAAAGCGAACAAACGCGAGCCGAAAGCGAGAAACAGAACTTGTGACATCACCTCTGGGTGGGAAGTGTCGCCAAAAGTTGCACATTTCACCGGTCACATGAAATAAGCAGATCAGTTTATGGGGCGGTATTGTTTTAATGATCGACTGAGAGACGTCATATTGGGTGAGAAAAAAAGCGTCGACTTGCGGGACAAAATGCATTTTGCGGAATTCCGGCCAGTGGGCGGAATCAATTTGTTTCTTGGGAGAATTTTGGGCGTTGATATGATTTTTTTCATGAAATCATCAATCTTTTCCTAAAAATTGTGCAAATATTAGGGGGATAGATGGCTTCTGAAACATATGCCCCACGTCCAATAGCTTTAGTTTTGAATATTTACAAATATGCTGCTATTATGGAAAGATGTCAGAGCCCACTTTTCATAAATTAAACAGGCATGCAATCGTGCCCGCCGTTTTCTAAAAAATTTACAAGTATTTTTAAGTAAGTTTATCTAGTTTAAATAAGGTGTCCAAACGTCCAGTATTAGCCGGGTAGTCCCTAATTTGGAGTCCCTGTACCCTATTTTTTGACACGAAAAAGGGTGGAGGATGGGTGTTCCCTTAAGCGGAAGGAAAATGTGGCACCATTGTATTGGCGGCAGTTGTTTCGAAGCTTTTAACAATCGAGTTTACACCTGCACTTCATCTTGTACAAAGAGCGTCCAATTTAACAGAGGGCGGACACTTCAACGTAGAGTTGACGTCTCGCGCAGGACGTAATTCTTCTACTACCTCTAATATGTCCTCATGCAGACAAAACGAGATGTTTTGATACTAGTATATTTTACGAACGTGTTTACTACCAGTCTCTAATAACAAGCAGATTTGTAACAATATAATCTATGATTCTCATATCATGCGAATGTCTATTTGACAGCGGTATCATGTTAATATTTTAAAAATGTATTTATTACAAATCCCTAATAAAACGAAATCTTTGGTAAAAATATAATCCATGAACCTCATATCAAAATTTTAATGAATCTCTGCAATGTCTTGTTAATATTCTACATATTATTTATGTGCATTATTGGATTGTAATATAATACTTATCAGTTTCAATTGATTCCACGCCGTTAACTTATGCTCTAGTATAACTAATGTACATGGAATGAACAAAGGTCTACCAATATTGGTAACGGATTATTAACATTTGATGTAATTGAAAATGCCAACCCCATATAGTATTAACATATATTCTAAATTTTACAACAATTTAAATTGCTTCACTTGTTATTCATATTGCAAATTCATAATTACTTATAATAGGTCTTATAAATCAGTAATGAATAAAAGTTAAAAATTTTGAAATTCATTCCCGAAAAGATTGAGTTGCATAAAACCTTAATGCAACGAGAACATTTAATAAGGGGGAAATCGGCAGTCCTCTTTGTAACCCCTCACACCTGCCGAATGTGTGTGTGGCCTCTGGAGCGGGAATGGGTTTCTTCAATAATAATCATGACACTTTGGTAAACAAACATTTAATGCCTAAATGATGATGATGGGTGATTTACAAATTATCTACAATTATGACAAGTGCGACCTTTTTATAGTTAAATTTACTCATAGTTTGACTCGATATAATTCCAATTCAGTTAATAGGCCGTCATTAATATTGTGCTGATGGCACCTTCTTTCCAGCTTTGCTCAAAGAAATGTTCATCTGCATTCTAGCAGGAGCAAAGCGAGTGATTACCCTTTCGTTGTTGTAGTCGGCGGGCATCACTGCACGCCCACTGGTGAGGTTGTTGACCGGCGTCACGGGCGGGGCCGCCCCCAGACAGCTGCGGAGAACCACGGCTGCACCTGAGCGTGGCCGATTAGCGTTGCCGCCCTCTCGGACCCATGTATGACGTCGCCAACCTCCAGGCAGCTATGGCTTGCATCGGCGATGACGGAGCGGTAGTCATCCGTCTTCCGTATCGAGCAATCGCGGACGACAATCGTTGGCGGGACAAATCGAACTATGACACGTGACCACTTGATACTGGGCACTGATAATGGTCACGACCAGCGAGGACACTTCCCATTCCGGGAATTGTGTCTCCTTTCGCAAGACTATTCGAGTAAGCGTGAGAGTTCGACTTCTCTCCGCAAGAATGTTCGAATCAGTGTTTTTCAGAGCCGCTCTACCGATTCATGAAGTCTCTCTCCTCTAGTGAGGATTCTCCTGATACGCACGATTGAATTTCGCGGAGCACGGTGGGGCGGGGCTTCGACCAATCACGCGGGATCCCATTTAACAGCTAAAATGTTTGTTGCTGTTTTTTTATAGTGGTCGGTGAAAAAACCGACATGACTTTCTTCGGACCCGCACGTGCGCCGCGGTTCGTTGGGGTCGTAAATCGGTCTCCCCCAAGTGTGCGCAATTAACGTCGGGTCTTTGACGAGCGGTCGCGTGGGTGGGGAAAGCACCCTCTCGAGGATTCGGCGGGACCCAGTCGCCGACAAACTCTCCCCCAACTGCGCGGGGGTGTCCTGCCATGAAACGTCATAAAAACCCTCACTTCAATAGCCGGAGGGACGCGGGTCGGGTAGCTCCCTCTGCAGCTGTGGCATCGCTGCAAATTTTATTCATGGAAATTCTACATCGTATCAGCTCGTACCGTTTCATCTTTTAGTCATTGGGACTTTGTCGATCATCGGCGCAAGTGTATCCACTACAGTGGTCTTATTGAAACGAAACCGCTTTCGGAATTGTCCATCATTCTACATTTCAATGGGTTGCTCATATCTCTAATATATCTCGTTGAATTTCGCAAAATGTATTGAGTATAAAACTCATTATCTTTGAAGTCGTTTTCCATAATATGTTTCACAAGTGGAACGTTTTAACTGGCAGCACTATACGAAAACCACCAAACGAATTCAATAGTCTGCGAACGGCGCGTAAAGTATAACCTAAACTGGTTACGACTGACGATGCGAAGAAGCCGTAAGGGACACTTACGGAAGCTGGCTGCCTCGCTAATAGGAATGAGTGCTCGCTTAAGACTTCACTCAAGGGAATACTCAGTGAGACGACTGAATTCGGCCCTAAATTTCAGAAATGGATATGGCAATTTTTCATCAAAGTTTCACTTTCTTGTGACACATTTACAAAGTTTCCGGGTACTAACACTTCCGCATCGACTTTGGGGCGAGAGACTGGTGCGAACGCTGCCTTCTCTGCGCCGCCGGCCCTCCTGCCCTCCGCTGGCGGACCGGCGCAGTTGCCGCGGCTGCGCCACCAAAGCGTCGGCGACCTCCTCGCGAGCGCGTTACAATCCCCCCCCCCCCCCACCGTGCGGATCTGCGGCTCTCCTGGCCTTCGCCCTGATTATTCCCAGTTTGCGTTCGGACAGTCCGTGGCTCGTCCACTTCTGAAAATTGCTCATCCTTTATTGTAACTACTGGCCCGCGCGCCACTCCCTAGAATATTAATTTACGTGGCGGAATCAATTGCCTAGAGAAGCGTAAAGCCAAACAAGTTATTTCTGGAGATTCTTGGGTGTCCACTCGATTGACTATTTTTCTCGTAGCATCAATAAAGAAACTACTTCGCGGATTTGCATAACCAACTGTTAGTACCGCTCACCTCGGCAGATCTTAGGAGCGTTTGTCCCGCCGACCGGCCGTGGGGCTGTCCGTTGCAGCCACCTCGCTTGACCGAAGCAGGCCAATGATATTCGTAGCGTTTTCTATATCTTCCACATTGGCGTCGACCGAACTGGACACGTGTTTAATTTCTGCGTCGAATGAAAAGTCTTGACGTGACGTCATCGGGCGCGGTTTTCGACCAACCGATAGCTCAATTGATGGCGCAATCGTCAAAATGAACATCGCTAAATTCGTCTCAATATATATATATATATATGAGAGAGAGAGAGAGAGAGAGAGAGAGAGAGATTGTTTGTTAGTTTGTTGTTGCGAAGATAACATGTGTTTGCTTATGAGAGGCGATTTTTGGTAAGTTGAAAAAATGGATCAGAGAATTTGCATTATATTTTGCTATAAAATGGGAATAAAATGTAACAAAGTTCTAGAAACGATTAAAATTGCATTTTGTGTTTGCTTCATAGCAAGGGTTTATGTGTGGAACAAGCGGTTCCTAGATGAGCGTTCTGGACGCCCCAGCACATCAACACCAGCTTAAACTGTGGAAAGGTGCAAGAAATAATTATGAAAGATCGTCGAATTACTGTCTGGGAAGTTGTAGAAGATGATGGCACATCAATTGGGTCATTACATGAAATCTTTTCGGGTGTTTTGGGTTTGAAACGTGTGACAGCAAAGTTTGTGCCAAAGGCTTTGAACTTCGAACAAAAACAGCGGCGAATGGAAGTTACTCAGGAATCGCTAAAAGAAGTCAACAACGAAGCAGAACTACTAAAACGTGTCATAACAGGTGACGAAACATGGGTGTACGGGTACGGCGTCGAAACTAAGGTTCAGCCGTCCCAATAGAGGCATTCTGAATCGCCTAGACCGAAAAAATCTCAGCAGGTGTGCGTGTGAAGGTTATGCTCAGTTTTCTTCGATTTTAAGGGCTTAGTGCATTATGAGTTCTTGCCAAAGTGTCAAACGATTAATAAAGAGTACTACCTACAAGTTTAACGACTTTTGCGGTAAGCAATCCGAAGAAAACGCCCCGATTTATGGCAAAACCATTCATGGCTCCTGCACCAAGATAATGCACCTGCTCACAAGTCATGGCTTGTACGCGAATTTTTGGGGAGAAACAACACTGTAATGATGTCACAGCCTCCATATTCGCCAGATAAGGCAGCGTCGTCGATTTTCAAGCTCAGATGAGATTAAAAGCGCTTTGCTGAAAGAGCTACATGCTATCCCAAAGATGGAGTTCCAGAAGTGTATTGGGAAATGGAAGAAGCGCTGGCATAAGTGTATAATATCTAATGGTGACAACTTTCAAGGTGATAACGTTGATTCATAAAAATGAAAATTTTCGTTTCTTTTTGAACACACCTCATGTGTGTGTGAATATTTTATATATATACACACACACATCCTATATGAAACTGGGTCTGGAGTACAATCTTATACGGTCACAGGCGGTGTCCCACAAGGCTCGGTGACCGATCGAGAAGCCGTAAGGGACAACTTACGGAAGCTGGCTGCCTCGCCTATAGATGAGTGCTCGCCTAAGACTTCACTCAGGAATACCTCAGTGAGGGACGACTGTATCCCTAATTAGAATGGATATGGGCAATTTCATCAAAGTTTCACTTTCTTGTGCCATATTACCAAGTTTCCGGGTACTAACCTTCCCGCATTCGAACGTTTGGCGACGAAACTGTGCGAACGCTGCCTCTCTGCGCGCCGGCCCTCTTCTGCCCTCCGCTGCGAGACGGCGCAGTTGCCGCGGCTGCGCCACCAAAGGCGTTCGGCACCTCCCGCCTGATGCGCGTTACAACCCCCGCCCCCCCCACGTGCGGATCTTGACGGCATCTCCTGGCTCCCCTGACTTATATCCAGTTTGCGTTCGTATCATCACGTGGCTCTCCACATTCTGAAAATGCTCATCCTGTTATTGTAACTACTGGCCCCGCGCCAACTCCTAGATTAATTTACGTGGGCGGAATAATGCCTAGAGAAGTCGTTAAAGCCCAATACAATTATCGGAGATTCTTGGGTGTCCACTCGATTGACTAATTTTCTCGTAGCAGTCAATAAAGAAACTACTTCCGGATTTGCATAACCAAATGTTTAGTCTACCCTCACCTCGCAGATCTTAGAGCGTCTCTCGGCCGCGTGGGCTGTCCGGTTGCAGCCACCTCGCTGACCGAAGCAGGCCAATGATATTCTAGCGTTTTCTATATCTTCACATTGGCGTTCGACCCGAAACGGACATCTGTTAATTTCTGCGTCGAATGAAAAAGTCTGACTGGACGTCATCGGGCCGGTTTCGACCAACATGCTCATATGTGGCGCAATTCGTCAAAATGAACATCGCTAAATTCGTCTCAAATGTATCATATATAATATATGAGATGAGAGAGAGAGAGAGAGAGAGAAGAGATTGTTTTTATGTTTTGTGCGAAATAACCCATTTTGTGTTTTTTGCTTAGAGGCGATTTTTGGTAAGTTGAAAAAATATCAGTAGAATTGTGCATTATATTCTTGCTATAAAAATGGGGAATAAAAGGTAACAAAGATTCTGAGAAACGTTAAAATTGCATTTTGGTTGCTTCATAGCAAGGGTTTATGTGTGGAACAAGCGTTCCTAGATGACGTTCTGACGCCCCAGCACATCAACACCACTTAAACTGTGAAAGGTGGCAAAAAAAAAAAAAATGAAATAATTATGAAGATCGTCGAATTACGTGTCTGGGAAGTTGTAGAGCATGATCACATCAATTGGTCATTACATGAAATCTTTTCGTGTTTTGTTTAAACTATAGACATCGAGAAGTTTGTGCCAAAGGCTTGAACTTTCGAACAAAAACAGCGCGAATGGAGAATTACTCAGAATCGCTAAAGAAGTCAACAACGAAGCAGTAACTACTATAAACGTGTCATACAGTGATCAAACATGGCGGTTACGTACGTCGTCGAAACTAGGGTCAGCCTCCCGAATAGAGGCATTCTAATCGCCTAGACCGAAAAATTGATCGTAAGGTGTCTCATTTTCTTCGATTTTAAGGCTTAGTGCATTATGAAGTCTTGCCAAAGTGTCAAACGATTAATAAAGGGTGAGTGACTACGCTGCTAGTGTTAACGACTTTCGAGTAAGCAATCCGAAGAAAACGCCCCCATTGTATGGCAAAAACATTCATGGCTTCACTTGCACCAAATAATGCCCTGCTCACAATCATGGCTTGTACGCGAATTTTGGGGAGAAACAACACTGTAATGATGTCACAAGCCTCCCATATCTCGCCAATAGGCAGCGTCGTCATTTCAAGTCTCAATGAGATTAAAAGCGCTTTGCTGAAAAGAGCTACATGCTATCCAAAGATGGGTTCCAGAAGTGTATTGAATGGAAGAAGGCGGCATAAGTGTATAATATCTAATGGTGATCACTTTCAAGGTGATAAACTGTCATATATTTCTTATATTTTGAACACACCTCATGTGTGTTGGAATATTTTATGTATTATACACACCACACCATCCTATATGAAACTGGGTCTGAGTACAACTAGTTATACGGTCACAGCGTTGATCCCACAAGTCGTATGGTCTGTTGAACATTATGTATGACGACGTGTTGAACTCGAGTGTGCCGAGGCGCAAGAAACATGGATTCGCTGACATTTGCAATTGTCGTTGCGCAAATACATCGAACAAGTCCCGCTAGGTTGCCAACGAGTTTTTTTTTTTAGTGGCGGAGAATCGCGTGGCTTACGTCGGTAGGGCAACAGATGGCCCCCATAAAAACAGAGTGCTGTGTGGACGGGCAGAAAAGAGAGAGGAGTAATTACTCTTAATGTAGGAGCTGGAGAATATCTCGCAGTCTGCACTGAGTATGGGGGCATATTTACGCCGAGACTGCGCTTTGACGAGCACCTGCGCAAATGCTCCGAGAAAGCATCTCGTATGCACCGCATATGCTAATGTAGGGGGTCCTGCCCATAGTATAGTCCGTATGGCTGTCGACTAAGCGTTAGTTAAAATTGCATTCTCTCTAACGCGCCCCTGTTTGGCTATGCCATGGCATTCAGTCATACGCCCGTGAGCTAAGGCGTGCATAGAAAGGTCCGCCTTGCGGTTGCTCGACGTTTCGCACCGTATCCTATGATGCTGTGTGTGTGTTAGCAGATATGCCTCCGATCGCCTCATGCGCAGGAGAGAGCTAGACCTATTTGCGCAAGCGGAGGCCTCAAGTGAGTACCATACGAAAGAAGAGAGGTGACAATTACCATTATGCAAACGACGGATGGGAGCAATCATCAACTGTGCGATGGGGCATTATCGTTTCTATTCCCTGAATCATGACTGGATTCAAATGAACATGGAGAATAAGATATTATCTAACTCAGATGCTAACAGGGCATGGATTTACCGGCATATCAGCTCCGATTCGGTTGGACGATAGCTCCTCAGTGCCAAGGATCTTTCCCGGGATTGAGAGTAGACACGTTCGCATTGTCACGCTTCGTAGTGGAAAGGGGCAAGAACTTCACAGGACTCCTAGAGAAAACCCCTGAGAACCATCGTCACTAGAGGCTGCTGACACAAGAGTATTGGAGTGCGGTAGCACCTATGCCGCCAAAAGTCCTGAAGACGCTCCGCCCGAGGAGCATTACTAAGAAGACTCCCGTAATATTCGGTGACGTGCGAAAACCCATCCTTCCTCTCGCGAGCAATGCCTACGGCCTTCCGCGAAGAATAGGAGGAAAGGAGGTTTAGTGGTATCATAC